GAGGCCTAAGGGCCACATCGCAATTAAATTGTATGAAGAGGTAGTCAAGCGCCCCCTACAACTACGACAAAAAATAGTTCTTACAAATGCTGCGCTGCTGCGCTTTGTAATAATCGTTCCGATAATAGGAGAGACTTGACGTTTCATGTATTTCCCAAGGATCCTTGCCGAAGGTTAGTTTCTCCACTGTCCACTTTCCAACGCATGTTATGACTATGACTCCAGGAATATCCTTTGGGGTTAAATTTTGATCTCTTAATCACAAATTGTTCTGACTTGTTTTCGCCGCCCTATTTACTTTTTTTTAAGTTTGCGAGAAATGTGGTGGCCCTCAGGCCTCGCTTTCATGCTTAAGTCGTAAGGTTGCTGCTAGTGAAACGCGAGAATCTGTCGCACTGTCGAAAGTCATAGTCTACGCCAATTGAGATGAAGACTCATAACCAGTAGACGGCTGCTTTCGGTGTTGTTTCGACGCCGATCGGTGAAGCGGAAGTGTCATCTCCAGTGCGCAAAGCCTGGATGAAGATATGTATGGAGGATGAACTCACCCTAAGTAGCAGATACCCCCTCTCAACGACGCTGAAATGGACCAATGAAAAGGCAGAAGCCAATACACATGGTTCCAACGCCACCGCAGGAGTTGCCAGAACGTTACTTAGTACATCAGCGAGCCACCTTAGGCATTCCCAACTCCATATATGTGCTTGAGGTTTACTTCCGAAGCCTTGCCTGAGAGCTGGTATAGTCACAAGGCAGTAGAGGTTGAAATCAGGGTTTTTTTCTTACCCTGGACTGACTGCTGACAGCTACTCTCCTTTCTCTCCTTCTCCTGTCAGTTTATAACCGGTTTTGCCACGTGAATGCCTGGAACTGAACTTGGTGGCTGACAGGAATTTAATTTTTGACGCACGTCATCTGGTGTCTGGGCATTTATATAAAGTGAGAGCTCATCCTTTGAAAGGCCACCATGACAAATCAAGCAATATTTCATTAATCTGCCGGCATGCAATAGGTATAACCCTACTTTATCTACTAACAATATTTTTCATTATTTTTCAGTCGTGGCATCACTACCTGGATGTGCACAGACATTGATGGCGGCGATTCGTTTCGTGAGGAAATTTTGGCAAATGTCCGAGATGCAAAAGTGTTCTTGATCTTTGTCAACGAAAAGTGGGCCAAATCACAGGAATGCGCTTTTGAGTTTAACTATGCGATGGTAAGACACTTGGTAAATATTACATATGCATGGGAAAAAAGCAAAACTTTTGTACTGAGTAGAGGGATCTATAATCAGACGCTGCCCACAAAAATGAGGTTCTACTTTATTTAAAGCTTTCGCCTTCGTTTCTACAAGAACTAAGGCTCCTCTGTCGCTGCTTTCGATTTCTCAAAACGTTACCGGCCGTCCACACTAAGCAATGGAAAACGCATACATGGCGAACGTTTTCGTTGTAAGGCTATTTTCAGACTAATGCATTTTCCAGCAGTGCACTTTTAAAAATCTAATTCATATAGAGTATCGACCCAGTAGCTATTACGCCGTCAGAGTTTTCGAAAACGTTCCGTTTTTGACGATAGACCCCCTGTTATCAAAGACTCTAACTTGGAGATCGTTTTTCCCAGCCTCTGTTCTTGACCGTTTATGTGTGGACCATGGCGTTTGGCGTGCAGCTGAAACGAGTAAAAATGTATTCCATTTTTCTAACGAAAACGATTTAGCTAACTTTAGCCAACGATGCAATCGACTGTAAAGTAATCTGTTGCTTAGGAAATCGCTTTTGCTTATAACTTAATAACACCGTCGTTGTCGTATTTAATAAAAGCTTCCATTACAAAATTGTATGACCTGTTTAAAATTGTAAAGAAATTTCCAAATTTAGCTTACTCGTTACTGGTTACAAACTTAGTAAAAAGGTGTTTTTAAAAAGCAAGACTTTGTCGCCATAATTTCTAATCTATTTCATTTACTATCACAGCGCAAAAATCTGGTCAAGAATACTCCAAAGATCATGCCATTCGTCATTGAAATGTTTGACATGGAAAAGTATCCTCATGTGGATGCTTTACTTGCAAATTGTCAGGGAGTGTTCTTGAACTCGGTAAGGCCACGCCTTCTTGGGGGCGTTCAAGGTTATTTATTTATTTATTTATCTATTTTTTTATTTAATTAGTTACGGCCAATTGCCTTCTTTTTCACATTTTATCTCCTTTCTTATTTTGTCATAAGTTTTATTGACTTCTTACATTACGTTACAACACATCACATCACATCGCATCGCATCGCATCGCATCGCATCATTGCATTACATCTGCCACGTACGCAGACGTCTCTCTTTTGATGAAAATGAGCGCGCAAAGGAAGGCGGGCTCGCCTCTACCATGCGAGAAACGAGGCGCCTGAGGAGGAGGCTGGCATTACATTACATTTCATCTCACTAGAAGGGTCACATGCTTTATCTTGGAAACGAACCTGTGACATGCAGCAATTCTACCCGGGATATTCAGCGTTACTGTGTTAACTTTAACTAGTGTCTCGCTGTATTCAAGGCTAAGGGATATGATTGCTGGGGGGTGAGTTTCTATGCTTTCCGTAGAGTTAGAGAGATACTACGGCAAACTAGCAGGGACTGGATCTGCGGACTACCTACTTCAATATGGACCTTACAAGTAATCAATACTTTTTTACAATATTCCCCTCGCGCAGGAACTTTCTCGCCTCAATTAACTTTTTCCGAAACTTTCCTGCAGTGTTCCTCTGAGATTGATGCATTCAAGCAAATTATGGACAAACTACAAGGCGTTGTGCCCATGAAGGCCGCCACCGCTGCTGCAGCACGGAAGCCTGTTCAGGCTAAACTATCGGACGAAGAGTCTAAGGAAGTTTCCATTGTTAGAAAATCACTCACTACTAAGGGGGCCCAAACATTGCCATCAGGTGCAGTATCATTTGATCTTACAGGAGTCAGTCGGCTCATAAAAGAGTAATATTCTTATTCAGTAGTGTGTTGCCTCAGTCGAAAATTGTAAATGGTCACAGAAAAAGTCTCTGAAAAAAAATAAGCACAGTAATTAAACAAAAATGCCTACGAGCGTCGCGTCTCCCCATGGGAACTTACCAAGATTACCAAAAGCGTACGTCTGTCGTTACCATATTGCTGGTTTGTAGGTTACGTCACGGCGGTAGAGCCTGTTCACAGGCTAAGGACAAAAGCATTTTCTCTCCTCTCGGAACTAAAACCCATTTTCATGAAAATAAGTTTATTACAATGACCACCAACATGTCAGCTTTGTCACGTGATTGCCAATAGGTTGTGCTAGCATAATTTTTGGCGTAGTTTGTCATTACATATTTTGAAGAAAAAGCACGGCTAGGTACAATTTGCACTTTTATTTAATTGGCTACTTTTGCAACATAAAATTTCATTTATTGACCATGCAAGTAAATTTTTTTTGGCTCGAAATCAGTGTTGCAAGCAAATCTAAGTAATAAAATCATTCTTTTTTGTCTGCTTATTGTCACATTCATGGGACCTGGGTCCTAAAGGAAGTGACCCAGGAATCTTTTCACAGGACTCGACAGATGCGCATAACTAGCTCGGTTACCCAAGATAGCACCTGAGTGCTGGTTGTTAAGTATTGAGTTTTTACAGTTGTCAGACAATGAATTACGCACTCTAAAAGTTTCAAGATGTAACTAGGGAAAATGTGTTTGCCATTTACTCGTTTGTTACATAGTTATTAAGGTATTTTTACCAAATTTAAAGCAAAAAGTAGAAGCAAGTTATTTCTGCATTTTTTGCTAAAATGAGCATAATTTACAAAAAGGAACATAATTAGTAGCATAATTTTAGAAAAACACGAGCACTACTGGTGGTATGATTATGCTACTCTCACGAGCACATCTTTCAAAGTCTAGTCGACACTGCCCAACCACTTTCTGAAAAGGTTCGTAATGTGGCCTCTGGGAGGGACATTGGTCACTGCACAAGTCAGGGTCGGCCTGGCGGGGTAGTGGTATACCAGTATACCCGAAAAAAATTCGCCAAAATACCCAAAAATACCTAGTCTCCTTCGCAGCCGTTATTAGGGTCGTCACTCGTCACGCAACGCTCCTCAATGGGGAGGAGCGTTGCGTGACGAGTGACGACCCTAATAACGGCTGCGAGGGAGACTAAAAAATACCCAAAATTCATCCAAATATATCCAAAATTATACCCAGGTATACTTTATACCTAAAATTCAAAGAAAGTGATATACCGAATACCCATATTTAAGCTGCAATATACCGTATACCCGATTTAAAAAGCCCCTGTATACCGTTGGCCGACCCTGAGAAGTGATATGGCTGTGCACACACGTAAAATATTGCAGAGTAAGATTAGACGATTCTATGCGAGCTTGGGTGTATCTCTCGCTTAAAAAATGTCTGAGATAATATTGAAATTTTATACTGCTGAGAAATTTAGAGATACGGTCCTGATTAGTCTCCTTGTAAGGCTATAAAAATAACATGAGAGAAATTAAAATGATTTGCCATTCTGTGATTTCCTTAGCACCTGGGGCCCTATGACATTTTGATAATTTTTTTGATAGGAAATTGGCAGGGTTACTTCATCGACGGAAGGGCACTTAGAGGAAAAGCCTCAGGAAGCAAATGGCTTATTAATGTCAACATGAACTTTCCAAATAGCAACCAGTTCACAGCAAAAGGACAGGACGAAATTGGTTCCTTTACGTTTGCAAATGGGAAAATCTCAGGTAAATGTCACACAAAGTATAGATAAAGTTTTGACGATGAGCAGCGATCGGTTTATACGCCGGTTAAATGATACGCGATGTCCCAAAGCTCGTGTACCTGATTTCAACCACACTAACTTTGCTAATTAACCAGGGTTATTTCCCTTAAAGTTTAAGAGTTTATTTCCTGGTGTATACTCTACATTGAACTGTCATTGTTAAGAATTTCGTTAGCCGGCCGGTTGTTTGGCCTGCCTTGT